ACTAGTAGGCAATGCATACATGGCAGTGAGAATAGCATCATAGTCAAGAGCAAAGATATCTACCCTCTTCCTAAGCAACTCCACCCAGTCGGGGAGCTCAGCCTCGTCGCCAAACTCGGTACGCCAGGCGTCGCTCAGACGGGCGAAGCAGCGGGACTGTGTGTGACTAGGAGTCCCACAAGGCTGGCCAGTCCGAGCACCAGTGCGAATCACGTAAGAGCAGCGAACAGAACTGAGAGACCCTCTACTCTGAGCGTACCACTCACGAAGCTGCTGGGGCGTGAGAGACGCGCGCGGGCGACGCTGGAGGTGCATCTGGCCGCCGCCAGTAGTAGTAGCAGCAGTAGTGGTAGCAGCAGCAGCTCCGCCACCCCTACAACCCCAGCCAGCGTACCACTCACGCAGCTGCTGGGGCGTGAGGGACTCACGCGAACGGCGCTGGGGCTGCATTTGGCTCCGCCAGTAGAGGCAGGAGCAGGAGTAGCAGCAGTAAGGCAGGCAGCTAGGCAGGTCGAAAAGGCAGGCAGGCAGGCAAGCAGGCAGCGCTAGCAGGGCAGGGGCTCACCAGCAGTGGGAAGAGCAGGCTCGGCGGCTCGGTGACCCGGCGGTGCGGGCGGCTCGGCGGCAACTGCGGCTCCGCGGCTCGGCGGCTCGGGCGGCGACTGCGGCTCGGCGGCTCGGCGGCAACTGCGGCTCGGCGGCTCGGCGGCTTGGCTGCGGCTCGGCGGCAACTGCGGCTCTGCGACTCGGCGAATCGGCGGTGCGGGCGGCTCGGGCGGCTCGGCGGCAACTGCGGCTTTGCGGCACCCGCGGCTCGGCTCCTCAGCTACTCAGGTGGCTCGGATAGCGTAGGGCGGCGGGGCCGCAGCGAAGGGGCGGCGGGGCCGCAGGGAAGGGGCGGCAGGGCCGCAGTGAAGGGCGGCGGGGCCGCAGTGAAGGGCGGCGGGGCCGCAGCGAAGGGTGGCGGGGCCGCAGCGAAGGGGCGGCGGGGCCGCAGCGAAGGGCGGCGTGGCCACAGTGCAGGGCGGCGGGGCCGCAGCGTAGGGCGGCGGGGCCTCAGCGAAGGGGCGGCGGGGCCGCAGCGAAGGGCGGCGGGGCCGCAGCGAAGGGCGGCGGGGCCGCAGTGAAGGGGCGGCGGTGCCGCAGCGAAGGGCGGCGGGGCCACAGTGAAGGGCGGCGGGGCCGCAGCGAAGGGCGGTGGGGCCGCAGCGAAGGGTTGCGGGGCCGCAGCGAAGGGCGGCGGGGCCGCAGCGAAGGGGCGGCGGGGCCGCAGCGAAGGGCGCCGGGGCCGCAGCGAAGGGGCGGCGGGGCCGCAGCGAAGGGCGGCGGGGCCGCAGCGAAGGGGCGGCGGGGCCGCAGCGAAGGGCGGCGGGGCCGCAGCGAAGGGGCGGCGGGGCCGCAGCGAAGGGCGGCGGGGCCGCAGCGTAGGGCGGCGGGGCCGCAGCGAAGGGGCGGCGGGGCCGCAGCAAAGGGCGGCGGGGCCGCAGCGAAGGGCGGCAAGGCCGCAGTGAAGGGGCGGCGGGACCGCAGCGAAGGGCGGCGGGGCCGCAGCGCAGGGCGGCGGGGCCGCAGCGAAGGGAAGGGGCGGGGCCGCAGTGAAGGGTTGCGGGGCCGCAGCGAAGGGGCGGCGGGGCCGCAGCGAAGGGCGGCGGGGCCGCAGCGAAGGGGCGGCGGGGCCGCAGCGAAGGGCGGCGGGGCCGCAGCGTAGGGCGGCGGGGGCGCAGCGAAGGGGCGGCGGGTCCGCAGCGAAGGGCGGTGGGGCCGCGACGAGAGGGCGGCGGGGCCGCGTAGGTGAGGGCGGTGGGGCCGCGACGAGAGGGCGGCAGGGCCGTGTAGGTAAGGGCGCCCCTCGAGGCGCGCGCCAGAAAGCAAATCGCCGCGCGCAAAATAGGTCGCACGCCACGGGGCGTGCGACAGATCGAGTAGCAGCGAAAGCAGTAGTAGGACCCTAGGAACAGTTCCCACGAGGGAACCTGCTCGATACCATGAGAAAGTTAGAACGAGAAAGTGGCATGACTATGAACGAAGTGAGTACAAATAGGAAACCCTAATTGGGTTGTACCCCCTATGGGATACCCCACTATAGCCTACACAAATAAGTAAGCTATAATGTTCTGACACTCGGTCGGTCCCCGAGGGCGATGTCCGTAATAGGACCCCGGTCTCGGTCGGCGTAGAATGTCGATCTTCTCGGCGAGCGCAAGAATCTCGTTGAAATTAGAGAGTCCGCGCAACATTATTTCGTGCGAGATATCCGGCTTCAGCACTCCGACGTAACGGTCCACCCGCTCCGCTTCGTGCATGTAGCCGACCTGCTCGCAAAGTGCGAGAAAACCGCTTGTATAATCTTGAACTGACCCGAGCTGGCGCCAAGTGCGCAATCTCTGACGCGCCGAAATTGAAGCCGCGATCGGCTCAAAACACGTCCGAAGCCCTGCGCACCACGCATCCCACGTGCTGTATTGGGCGATCTCGCAGGACGAACTCCAGGTGACAGCTGGACCCGTGGGCCCTTCCTCGTGCGACGGTGGCTCGTAGGCGCGTGGCGACGTCACGATGACTCGCCACCAGTCCATGGCGGGGCCCTTTAGCAATGAAACTGCATACCGGATCTTCGCGGCGTCCGACTCGACGTAATTTGCGTCGAAGAAGACGTTCATCGTGAAGACCCACGATTGAACCGTCGGACCGCCGCGTTGGCTTGGGTCGAAGCAGGGCGGGCGTTGCGGCTTGAGCGGCATTGGTGCCATGATGGCGTGTTCGCCACTTGTCGCCGCAAATTCCACGTGCCGACGGGCTTCTCGGGGCTCCCGTGGGCTTGGTGCGATCCTGTTTCCTCCCATGCCAGGCATCGGCTGGGCGGCGCCATCACTGGCTGCGCCTGAGCGTTGTCCCATGTTGTCGTGTTGTGTTGGTGTGCCGGACGAGATGACGATCGGCTCATCCGAATGTGCAGATGCATTTGTCGGTGCGTGTGATGTCGTCGGTATGTTCACCGTGGACTGTTGACGGGCGGAGTCACGTTCCGCCGTGAGGGTCGCGATTTCAAGCGCCGAATCCTCCAGTTGACGCACGAGACGATCAAGTTGCTCCTGCGTCAATGTGGCGAGCGTGAAGTCGGCCATGGCGGGGGTGTCGGGCGAGCTCAGCGAGAGCCTCGGTCGTGGCCGTGCGTGCTTGCGAGAGAGCACTACGAGCGGCGGTGCTGTATCGCTGAGAGACGTCTACCCCCCCCAAAAAATTGAGATATTGGGGAAGCGAAGGTGTGGATGCGGTCCGAGATGAGATCGTAGGCTCTGAATACCAAGTGTTACGAGTGCAATTGAGTGAGCGAACGAGAATTGCACTATCGAAGCAAGAATACAATGAGCGAAGGCATGAGCGAAAAATATATAGCGAAACTACAGTGGTAACGGTAATGGTCTGTGGTAGTCGCGCGACGAGCCTGGGACTGAGGTTTGGGAAAGTGTCGAAGCGTAGGCCCGGAGCGCGGGTTACCAGCCGAGCCGTGAGGTCGGGATGCGATGTGCGAAAATGGCGGGATGATTATCGATGCGATGGTCGCGAGTGGTAACGGTGCTGACTGAGGTGCTACAGTGATGTACGCGTTGAGCAGGGATGCGAAGTAAGGAAAAGGGATTTTCCTTACAAGAGGATTCATATACATAGCGAAGTCGATCATATGTGCTTTCCAGTCGATCATATATCACTGTGGATGCGTTCGTTCGCGAGCCCTCGCTCATTCGCTAGTCACGTCCAAGGCGTGTTCTCTCGCCCGTTGCACTTTTCCGCCAACACCCGCGACAATATCGAGGGCCGACCAACCTGTTGTGCTTCCTGCTTGTGTGGGACCCAACGTTTCTTCGTAAAACATTACTCAAGAGTATGTGACCGCTCTGGAACGCGAAGAAACTTGCTGAACCCGAATCAAACGCAACATGCGCAGCTCTGCTTGCGCACACAATTCCAACCTCCCCCCTCTTATTTTCACACATCCACATTGGTGATACTGCTAGTCTTTGCGGGTCTGTTGGTCCTCACTGCCGTCCTCGTCTCCTAGCCCTGGCATCCTTAGTTATTCGTACGAAGACGTGTCGTGTTTTTTCTGATGCGACGCGGGGCTAGGTGTCTGTAGGTGCGGAGTCGTTTCTCGCCTGCGCGGAACGAGTCGCAGTGAGAGCGGCGGTGCACCATGTGGGCGATCTGGGGAAAACAGCGAGAGCGCTTCTCGCTCGAGGAGTTGAAGTAAGAGTCGTCGTTTCTAGCTTGTAGAAAGATTAGGAAGCGAGGCGGTCGATGTGCCTTCAAATACAGCTTCTTACGAATTTACCTACAGCTTCTGGTCTGTTCACTTAGCTGTTTGCTTATTCAACTGATTTCCGGGCCTCTTCACTTCGTTACTTATTGTCTCCTCAGGCATCTCAACGACGTGCTTCAGAAACACACAATCATCAGCGATGCGAACAAGGTTCGTTCGAAAATGTCGTGATACGAGCATCTTAACGTACTTTACAACCCTATTTTACCGTACTTTGTAGACTCAAGCCTTGTTCGAAAGCGTCTCGCTCACGGTGATTCTGTCCGAAGAGTTCATAGAGAAGAGTATTGCTTCTGTGTTTCCGATTTGTCCATGGTTTACCTCCTCGCTTCTTGATCCTTCTCGCTAGAGCTGTTCCTGTTCGCATTTTGGTTCCATCAGGACACTGTAGTGGAGACGTTGAGGTCTATAGCGGAGCTGATGATATGGGGGGACCAGCATGAGCCTGCATTTTTCGAGTAAGTTCAGGAGAGAATAGTATTGGTGGTATCGCGTTTCTGATCCCATTCCTTCAGTTTATAAACATTTGTCTGGTTGCGAACCCGCGCCTGCTTCCCGGAGATTCTTCCTGGAGCAGGGTGTATTCGTGGTCTCACTCCCAACCTTGCCTCCGCCCACCCGCTCACATGCTGCTTGCAGGTTCTTTGTGGAGCAGGGCGTATTCGCGCAGTTCATCCGCATCATGGCGCTGGCCAATCAGCCGTCGCCTCAGTGCGAGGGGGTCATGGTGCAGCTGCTGCAGACGCTCAACCTCATGATTCAGAACCTCAAGAGCGAAAAGGCCATCTGTGAGTGTGTTCGTCACTGCATCCTCCACTGCCCCACATACACTGCCCTTGTTGGCTCTTGCTGTCAGGCTACCTCCCCAGCCCCCAGCGCATTGGCAATGCCACATGATTCCCTAACCTAACTTCCCCACCCTGACTGCATTCTCAGCAAGGAGCACCTAATCAACACCATCGGCCTCCGTCCCCTTCCATCCCCTCCCACTCCTTTTCCCTCCCTCGCCCCCCCTCCCCCCCCCCACCCCCAACCCCACCCCCTTCCCTTTCTTCCTCGCACACTGCATACCTCGCGATTGCATGTATAGCAAGGAGCACAATTTCTAGACCACTTCAGCACTCCCCATCTCGTCTACACCCCATTGCCCCACCATTTCCACTTCCTCTCTCACCTGCTCACCCAACAACGCCGTTGATGCCGTCATCAATTTGCTCCCATGGCCCATGGCATCAAGGAGCGCATCGTGGTTGCCATCAACCTCCCAACCCCTTGGCCCCCGTCACTCCCCCATCACCACTCTACACCCAACCAACACCATGGCCCCCCTGGCAGACTACATGTTCAGCAAGGAGCACATCAACAACGTCATCTCCTTTATTCCACCTCGAACCCCTCGAAGCCCTTTCACACCCCCCACCTCCCCATCTTTTTCACATCCTCTCTCTTCCTTCCCACCACACCCAACACTGGCCTGGCAGACTACATGTTCAGCAAGGAGCACATCAACAACGTCATCTCCTTCCCCTTTGATTTCTCCGATGAGGAGCTGCTCGCATACTACATCTCCTTCCTCAAGTGAGCCACCGCCTCTTGTGTGCTTCCCCACCACCATGTCTTCTTCTCCAATCCACGATCCCTTCGTCTCATTTGAAGAGCTTACTCCTTGGCCTGGATTTGTTTGTACCACATCCTTCATGTTCCTTCAACTCTCTTGCCAAGAAATTAATGGTCCCAGTAAATCACTGCGCTTCATCTGCTTACTGTCAGACTTGTATCATGCCCATGTGCGCATGCGCATGCACATGCACATGCCTTCCGAGTCAAGCATAAAAGCGCATATGCACATGCATGTGCTGCTGTTATTGCTGCTGCTGCTGCTGCTGCTAATTGCTGTCCCTCATACCGGCACGTGGTGCACGTGTCTGTCTGTCTGTCCGCATGCCCCCCCTTCCTCCCACTGCAGAACGCTGAGCATGAAGCTGGACAAGTCTACCATCTCCTACTTCATCGTGGAAAAGGAGGTGCGCCACACACTCACACAGCCACACTGTACCAAACCGAACCAGTAACAGTAGCAATAGCACTAGAAGTGTGTTCGTGTTTCGGCTTTACCACTGGACTAAGCAACGTGTACATACTGCATGGATGAATGCAGGATGGCAGCAGCGCCTTCCCCCTGTACGTGGAGGCAATCCGCTTCTTCCACCACGAGGAGAGCATGGTCCGCATCGCCGTGCGCACGCTCACCCTCACCATCTACAATGGTATGTGAACCCTCTCCCTCCTCCATTTGTTCTTTCCTTGCATGAAATCCTCCCTCCAACATGTCACTTCCCCGTCCAACCATAATACCATACGTTGCCACTGCCACTCCCCATCCGTCCCCTGCCACCCATCCTCCGCACCCACCTTGCCATCCCCACCAGCGCATGACTCGCACTGTGCTGTGTCGGGTTCTTCACATCGCCCTTTCCTCCAAACCACTTCCTCCCCCTCCTTCCCTCCCCTCCCCGCCCTTCATCCTCTCCCCACCAGTGCATGACGAGCGGGCCAACCGCTTTGTGCTGAGCCCATCAGCCATCCGGTACTTTGAGGACCTGGCCATTTTCGTGCGCCAGCAGAGCTTCACTCTTGCTCGCCTTGTTGCCAACGCTGTCAGGTGGGTGGGTGGGTGGGTGGTTACAAGTTGACATGGTTGGATGAGTGACTGAATAGGTGGGGTGGGGTGGATGTGCAGGTGGGCATGGACATGGGCAGCCAGCCATCAGCAACGCTTCACGCTGGCCCGCCTCGTCGCCAGTGCTGTCAGGTGGATGGGTCACGGGTGCATGGGGGCATGGGTGGGTGAATGAGAGAGTGAATCAGCACTTTGCTGGATAAGCCACGCCAGAGCTGGTCTACTCTGCAACGAACGACCTCATGAGAGCGCCGGCTCACCCACCCAGCCTTGTCTCCTCCCTTCCTGTATTCCCCCACCCTCAACCCGCCTGCACACCTGAGCACAGGAACTTTGGGTCGATAGTGGACGTGGGGCGGGTGGAGGCGTCGATAGCGGAGATCGGCGATCTACTCTACTACTGCAACGACGTCATGAGCGCTGGAATCCCACAGCTCTCAGAGGTGGTCTCGGAGCACCTCCTCAGCAACTGGGTCTTCCCCGTGCTCCTCGCCTCGCTCTCCCCCGAGTCTGGCTCGCCCAATGTAAGTGTGGCTCATGTGTTTCAGTCCATGCATTCAGTTTTGCTCACGCTCTCTGCACAAAGGGGTATACACCGCCAATCTCCCCGAGGTTGTCTGAGAGCATCTCGTCAGCATCTGGGTCGTGCCTGCCTGTGCTCCTCCTCGCCTCACCCTCCCCCTCCCCCCTATCCCTTTCTTCCAGGCAAATCCCATCTCGCCTCCATGTACTGGCTGCGCCCCATTCACTCCTCTATCTACCCTGTTTTGTGCCTCTTGTCTCCTATCCCTCTACCCCATCATCACTCAACCCCACTTTCAGGCGAAGCGCATATCACCGCTGTGCGCCATGTACCTGCTGTCGCGTGTGCTGCACGTGGTGACCTACCGCCCCTTCCTTGACACCGCCACCTGCTCCATCGCCGCCTCCCTCTCCGCCAGCCCTGCTCTCGTCTCCCTTATCCCTTCAACCCCTCTCTTGAGCAGGAATGCACATCCCTCCCGCTCGCCCATAGATCTGATTTACCGTCACCGTACTTTTCCCCTGCATCCCATCCCATCCCTTCCTGCTCAATTTTCCCACTTTCAGGCGAAGCGCATATCACCGCTGTGCGCCATGTACCTGCTGTCGCGTGTGCTGCATGTGGTGACCTACCGCCCCTTCCTCGACACCGCCACTCGCTCCATCGCCGCCTCCCTCTCCGCCAGCCCTGCTGGCTCCGACGGGGTGCTGCCTCAGCTGTATGAGTTCCAGCAGCAGCAGGGCAAACCGCAGGAGAAGCAGCAGGAGAAGCAGCAGGAGAAACGGCAGGAGAAGCAGCATGTGAGGAGGAGCAGAAGCGCATCGAGCTCTGCGGATTTTGGGGTTCAGGATAGCGAGTTTGGTGTAGGGAAAGGGAGGGAAGGAGCTTCTGGTGGCGCTGGTGGTGCGGCAGCAGCATTGGTAGGAGCAGCGGCTGCAGCGGCAGGCACAGCAACAGCAGGTCACAGGTTGTCTGATACCCATCACCTCTCTGCAAGGCCTCCGGTCCCCCCTCCTGCTCACCTTACAACCACTGCTTCTGCTTCTGGTGCACAAGGCATAGTCTCCCCACCTTCTGCAGCAGCAGCAGAGAGGAGGGATGGAGACGCGAGTGCAGGAGGAGTGGCAGAAAGGGGAGAATCCTCAGCAGTAGACAGGGCAGAAGGGAAGAAGGCCAAGTGGCCGCTGGCAGCAAGACCTGGAATTGCGGACTCGCCTAAGGGTTCCTTCTCAGAGAGTCTGGAAGGGCGGGAGGGCAGAGATGGGGGCAGTGAGGAAGCAGGGGAGAGAGGAGGGGAGAGAACAGGGGACGGCAGGGAAGATGTAGCGGCAGCAGATGCGCCGAATGGGTATGTTCCTGGAAGAGAGGAGGCAGAAAGCAAGCAGGGGGAAGATAAGAATCGTGGGGAGGATGGGAATCGCAGTGGTGGTACGAGCGGTGTTGTGCGGTCAGCATCGGCACGAGACAGGCCGGCTCTGTCGGCGCGCAGGCACCTCAGGACCCAGAGCAGCGGCAGCAGCAGGAGCCTTACCGACTCGCCCCAGCGCATCAAGAGCTCAGACTCCCCACAGCAAATGAAGAGCTTGGACTCTCCGCAGCTGAATGAGAGCTCGGATGCGGTTCAGAGGAGCTTCAGCTCGCCCCTCAGGAGCTCCCCGTACAGGAAGCAGCGCCATGCGTCTGACACCATTATCCTGGACCTCGACCCCACTGCCAGCGCCTGGTATGTTCTTCTGTTCCCCTAGTAGTGAGGCGGTTTTTGAGGCGCCTCAAAACGCCCTCAGGAGCTCGTCGTACAGGAAGCAGCGCCATGCCTCTGACACCGTCATCCTGGACCTCGACCCCACCGCCAGCGCTTGGTACGTTCTCTTTCCCTACTTCCTCGTGTTTCGAGTCGAGTCAAAGCTCCCCTCAGGAGCTCATCGTACAGGAAGCAGCGCCATGCGTCTGGCACCATCATTCACTCTCGACCTCGACCCCACTGCCAGTGCCTGGTACGTTTCTTGAGGCGCCTTCAAAGCAGGAACTATTATTCTGGCGCCTCAATGACAGGGAGCAGCACCATTCAATGACTTTCCAGAATCCATCATTTTGGACCTCGACCCCACAGAGCTAGCGCTTGGTGCAGTATGTTCCCTTACTGCCTCCTTTGCTGCCCCGCTTCGTCATCTGCTCCTCCACCCCCTCCTCTGTTCCTCCACCCCCTCCTCTGCTCCCCCTCTGGCTCCTCCCACCCCCCCAAACTGCTGCCACTGCTGGTACGCATCCTCCCTCTCCACACGCCACCAGTACTGGGCTTGTGACCTGTCACTCACGCAATCCATTCCTTCGTCATTGCTTTATACCGTCCCTTTCTCGCCAATCTCCCACCCTCCTCAGTCTCCCACCCCCCTCGATCGATCGCCCCCCGTCCCAATCTCCCGCCCCCATTGTCTCTCGCCCCCAGGGACACGATAGTGTCGTACCTGCTGTGCAACAACGAGCGGTGGGTGCTGGCATGGGTGCTTCCAGGTGCCCAGTCCTCCAATCTCTCTCTTTTCTCTCCTTCCTCTCCCGCCCCCATTGTCTCTCGCCCCCAGGGACACGATAGTGTCATACCTGCTGTGCAACAATGAGCGGTGGGTGCTGGCGTCGCTCTGTGTGCTCTGCGGTCTGCTGCAGAACACAGGTGGGCGGGGCAGGCCAGGGTGGCAGGGGGGACAAAGAGTGGGACGAATGAATTCGGCTGGGTTTTAGGGTTCTTGAGTCACAAAGCTGATGATGATGAGGAAGGGAGATTGAGGAAAGAAGAGGGGCAAAGGCAGCAAGGACCCTGTTTGCATTGCATGCGACTCTGCTTATTGCCTGATTCGTCCGTGATTGCATTCATCCGTTTTTCTTTTCTGTGCGTGCCGTGCCATCACATCTGTTGCCCCCTCACTCACGGGCACTCCAGCGGTGCACGACTCATTACTGGAGGAGCTGGGCATGCTGCCGTGTAACCGCCGCCACCGACGACTCCTCGTGGTCAGTCGCCCCTTGCTCACTCACTCACTCGCCCTTGCTCGCCCTCTTGAAATTAGAAGTGTTTTGAGACGTTTCAAAACACCCAATGAAATCATGCTGGAGATAGATTGCCGCTGTCCCCTTCTCACCCCTGCACTGCCCTCCCTCCCCTCCCATGCGCACGTGGCAGGAGGCATTGGTGGGTAACCAATCAGAGGAGCAGCTGAAGCGGCTGCTGAGGCGGCAGGACAGTGATGCAGTGGAGGGGGGTGAGCAGGCGGAAGCAGGAGGGGGTGGAGGTGGAGCAGGAGGAGGAGCAGAGGCGGGCAGGGAGGCTGATAGGCTGTCGCATGCAGCAGCAGAAGCACCGTTGGGATCAGGAGCAGATACAGCTGTAGCACCAGCACCGGCAGCAGGTTCTGATGCCGGCTCAGCATCGGGATTATCTGTAGTAGACAGGACGGAATTGAGGGGTGACAGTAGCGGGGGTGAGTGTAGTGAGTGTGGCAGCAGCAGAGGGTCTGGCAGTGGGCGGTGGGCAGTGGGGGCAGGAGCAGGGCCGGTGCTAGGGAGTAGATTTATGGCTGTGGGGGGTGGCGGGGAGGGGGGTGGTGGGGAGAGGGTTGATGGAGCAGTGGGGCGTGATGGTGATGGTGGGGGGAGAGGGAGAGGGGGTGAAGAGAAGGGGGATGAGAGAGGGGGAGGAGGTGCGGTGCTGGACGAGCAGCGGGATCGAGCCGAGGGGAAGGTGAGCAAACGAGCAGTCTCTGCTGTTCATTAGTCCTTGGCAGAATTAGGTGTGTCCCACTGCCCGGACTTCAATTCCCCGTCTCCCTGTCTGCCTGCTCGTTGGTAAAGCTCCCCTTGAAAGCTCCCGATCATTAGCATTCAGTGTGCAGCGAAGCTTATTATGTATCAGAACGTGCACTCCTGCGTGACACCCCCTCCCCCTCCTCCCCAACCCCAGGCATCTCCATTCAGGTGTGCAGCGTGTGGGTGTGGTGGGGCTGACACCCCGTCATCGAAACAGCACTCCAGAAAGAGACGGCAGGTGCGTGCGTGATGACATGTGGTGTGATGCCATGCCACGCTTACATGATGATTGCGTGGTGGCCATGGCTTGGTCACAAGATCAATGGGTGGCGGTGTGACGCCATGCTTACATTATGATTTCCCCTCCTCCTTCCCCCCCCCCCTCCCCCAGCCACCCCCCCCTCCCACCACACCTCAACCCCTCCTCGCTCCCCACCTCCAGGTGGTGGACACAGTGTTTGTTTTTTTGAGAATTCTCAAAAAACATACACCTCCAGGTGGTGGACACAGTGTTTGTGCTGCTCTGCAAGAGACCCTGCCTTTTTTGCCCATTTATCCCCTCCTCCCTCCTCCCCCCTCTTCCGTTCTCACTTCCACTCCCTTTCGCAGGTGGTGGACACGGTGTTTGTGCTGTTGTGCAAGAGACCGCCGCCCTCACCTGAAGCCCTGTGGCACGCGGGGTGGCTGCTGCGCCAGCTGCTGCCGCCCAGCCATCGCCTGCAGTCAGCACATAAGAAGCTGCTCACTGTATGTATGGGGAGGTCAAATGCTCTGTGGAGGTCGTGAGTGTGGAGGTCGTGAGTGCGGAGGTCGTGTGTGTGGAGGTCGTGTCATGATGGCTCGTCGTATATTGTGTGATCTGCAGCCAGCGTGTGACTGCCGCCCAGCCATCCCCTGCAGTCAGCACAGCACACAAGAAGCTGCTCACTGTGCGTGTGCGGTTCTCAAATCCTTCTCTGTATTTGCTGGTCCCATCTGCTCTCTGTATGTTCGGGTCTTGGTTAGACTCTGTAGCTATGCACCACAAGCAGATGCGAAACTCTGTATGTATGATTCGTCTTTTCCCCCTTCCTGTATCACGTCGTGCAACATGTTGATTGGCATGCTTACATGATTCATTGCCTGTTCCTCCCTTGCCTTATTTCGATATTACCTCTTGCAGCACGCATATGAGCTGGCACGTGGTGACCTGGTGGGGGAGTTATTGGACTGCTGGTGTGACATGCTGCCTGCTGCTATGGTGGAGGAGTGGAAGGCATGCCGGAAAGGTACAGAGCGGTGCAAGGGTGTGAGGAGTCCGTAAGCATGTCAAGTACTTCTCTGAAGGCTCACTGTCCCACAGTTTGTCTTCATGTCTTGTGCAGGTCTAGCTACTGTTTCACTCTGTGGTTCGGTTGTCAAATTATTGTTTCACTCCGCCCTCCATTTCCTCCCTGAACCTTCCTTTACACTTTCCACTACTCCCCATCCATGGGGGCCTCTCCCACTGTCGCTCCCACAACAGCACTGGAATCAGCCACGCTGGCCAATGACTCCTCGCTCGTCCTCATGCCTAGCCTCCCGCCCCTCCTCACTGATGGTATGTGCTCACGTGCTGCTAGTTGAACCTTTGAGATTCTTAGAATCCCCCCTATAAGATCCCCCGTGTGCATTTTTATTGGAGCGTGGTACAGACATGCTCAAATGAGCTGTTGTTGCTGCCGGCCTCAGGTGCAAGTGGCTGCCGCCCTCAGGTGCAAGTGGCTGCATCATCTTTTCTCGCATTTCACTTCACTTCGTTTCGTTTCTTTTCGTTTCGTTTTTTTGGTACCTTTTGTGTCCACTTTTCTACAAGAACCACCCTACGACTTACGCACATGTGCTGTTTTGGTTGGAACATACTGAAGCCCTGTGTTCTTGTTGCTGTGTTGCATTGCAGGTGACTCGTCGTCAGCAGCGTTCGGCGAGAGAATGCGCACCGTGGTCAAGGTGGGTTGCTTGGTCAGGCTGTGTTGCAGGTCGAGGGAACAAATCAAAGTGTTACTAGTGCAAGTGTTACTAGTGCTCATTCTGAAGCGCAAAAGCATTCATCATGGCTGATGAATGGGACTGCACCAGATGCAGGCTTCTGACACTCATTAATATCCAGCCATCCTTTCCCTCACACACTCACTCGCACACTCTCTCACTCTTTCTCTCACGTATACGTGGGGTTGCACTAGATCCTAGCCACTCTCGGTCATAGGTGGTTTTTTAGAGTTTCCTAGAACCAATACCCTCCCTCCCTCTCGCTCAGGTGTACGTGGCATTGCATCAGATGCGAGCCACGCTGCTCGGCCTGCCTCTCCCAGACGTCCCTCCTCTCGCCACAGCAGCCCCTCCCCTCCTCGACGCCCGGTTCGGCCGCAAGGGACTCAATCTGCCTCAGGCACAGGAAGGCACCGAGGTGCCTCTAGGTCAGTGCCTCCCTCCCTTGTCTGCTTCCGCCCTCAGTCATGCCTTTCCTTCAATGTACCTCCATGCCTTTCGTTGTCTTGTTTTCCCCCTTCGTATGTGTCAATCTAGCATTCTCTCCTTCCTTCACTCCTGATTTTTTCCCCTAAGTTACCCGTCCCTGCCGTGTTCCTTTCTAACGTTCCATGGAGACAAACTGCAAGCTCCCTGCAACCACCCCCTCCTCTCACCTTCCTGCTCCTCACTTTGCAGAGCCTGGTGACGCCATCCCATGCCGGGTGGCGTTTGAGCGGGGCAAGGAGAAGCATGTGCTGCTGCTCGTGGCCTCCTCTGCGGCCAACGGGTGGGTGCTGCTGGCAGAGCCGCCTGCCGGCATGACAGCCAAGGCTGCTGTCGCTGAGGGGGCTACGGGGGTCGTCCGCGTCGTCGCTCCCCTTGCAGGCTGCCAGGTTGGTGAATCTCCTTTTGCAATTTTCTTTTCTTTTCTTTCCCGTTATGCATCCACCAGCTCTGTTTGAAAGTGCCTGCTATGCTTCCCTGCTCCCCACAGCAGTGCTTTGTTAGCTTCCTACTTCAGCTTCATGTCAAGCTCTTCCTTTTCCTCCCCGCTTGAAGATTTCAGTCCGCAATCCAGACAGCACTTGACATGTGTTTCTCATGTGCTGCACTATGCTTAGCATCTCAACTATCGAGTCATTCTCCCTGCCCCATACATCAGCCATCATTGGACCCGAAGCACAAGCGCTGGCTGCATCTGCGCATCCGCTCGCCCCAGGCCCCAGCCTCTGATGCCGGTACTCTTGCATCTCGCTCTCCCATGGGCTCGCGGGCCCGCACCAAGCGCTTGGCGGATGGGCGGTGGACCTTGGCGTTTTCAGACGAGGCTGCATGCAGATTTGCACACCTAGCAGTGCAGGAGGAATCGTATGTGCAAGGGAATGCTGTCCGAAGCATGCTGCTTCCCCTGGTCGGAAATGTTGAGCCCTTTCAGTTGCAGAGGGAACAGACCGACTGAAGAAGAGATGCATGATTTCATCTGTTAGTCAAAATATTGTACAAGCATCCTTTTCCCGTGTTGCCTTTATAATTACCATTACAAATGAGCTGGATTCGTTGGTTGAGAGAATTTCGTTTCCAGTAAACATCTGACTAGCGTAAGTTCGTAACATCTCGTCTTCGCACAGGTATTGTGGGCAGTCTTATCGCATGCACGTGTTTCTGGTAATGCCCTTGCGAAATCCGAGAGAAGAGTATCGTTTCGCTGATTGGTGATGTGAAAATCCACAAACCTGGGCTCTGTGCTCTGAGCGCCACGAGTTTCCATCATTGCGGGCTGGCCAATAACAGCACACTAATTTCACTCATAGCCCTGCCTACATGGCAGCACGACGAGCACAACCTTGTTCTTCGCGCCCATGACTTCGTTATAGTAACTCGCACCTCGCACACCTCACACCACCTCCTGTTTCAGGAACAAGTCGACGTGCCCTCGATCGTTGGATCTTTCATGTCAACCATCGCCCGATCTTCGCAACTCATTTCGTCCGCACGATCACCTTTCGTCGGATTCTCCCGAGTGGTTCCAAGAGTGTCAAGCTCCTCATCCAAGCTCTCACAAAGAATCCCTAACTGCTGTAAAACTGCCAGTCGCACTTGTAAATCCAGTTTGAGTAGTCTTTTAGTTTCCAAGCACGACATCAAGGTGATTCCAGCTGTCATCAGTAACTTGAGCACTTACGAGAGATCTACAGACTATCAGCAATGGCTACTGTCCGTGCTCTCTCTCAGTGCCAAGTTGTGGCCGGAGCAGCCACTGCTCTTGGCTTCTCAGACTCTTCTTCCGTGAAGGGCCTGAAGTCGCTAAATGGCGCACGATGCCAGTCTCGCGTCGTTGCCATGGCCACCAAGAAGAAGGTGAGGTGCAAATTATAAGTAGTCAACTTCAGGTTGCAACCTCTATTGAAAATAAACATGCAAAGTTCATTGTCACGTTGTTCACACTGCGGGGCAAGATGGGTACTCGAATGGTATTTAAGCGTAATTCTCTCAAACCTATCGAAAGCTTCCTATGATCGAGCTTCTCACCTATCATAATGCTTCTACCCCACGCAGGTGAACACTTACCTTGATGACTGGAGGAAGGAGTTCATCGGGTACGGAATCTTCGTCGAGGATTCCGAGTCAGCTCCCGTGAACATCGTGCAGCAGTTGGAGAAGAAGAAGCTTCTCTCGCAAGTCGAGAAGGCCGGTCTGCTCTCCAAGCTCGAGTCATCGGGTCTCACGCTCTCCAAAATCGAGGAGCTCGGCCTTCTATCCAAGGCCGAATCTCTTGGTCTGCTCAGCCTTGCCGAGAAATTCGCCACCACTCCCGCCGGTACCTTCGCCTCTGCGGCTCTCCCGCTCCTCGTCGCCGCCATTGCTGTGCCGGTATTGGTGCCTGACGACAGCGCTGCTCTTGTGATTGGCCAGCTCACAGTCGCTTCTCTCCTGGCTCTCGCTAGTGTCACATCTTTCACATTGTCCCTCATCCTCGGTATCCTCCAAGAGTAGGATCATCCCTTGGCCACCTTTCTCATGTAATTTACGACCTACAACCTAATATAGCTAAAGAATCTCCTGTCCTATTTCCGCCTGCGGCGAATCGTGAGTATGGTACCTGCTAAGCTCAGAAGCATTGCTTCCACCCCTCCATCCCAAGGTACCAACGCATACAGAACAGTCAAGTGTGAACTTCAGAGCAGCTGCGAACATCAAGGTTGGAGGTTGATGTTAAGGGCCCTAAATGATAGTGCCTATGTAGGAGCACACCAAGCAGTCCACTGGCTCTAAAACGATCACATAATTTGAGAAGAGAAAATAACGACTATGATGAGGCTGGTACGAACGACAACACTGATGAGGCTGAATATGTTATGCATACACTACACTGCTCCTGTTTGAGGGCCTGCACACCCTTCCTGGCACGGGTTGAAGAGTTGCTGGAATGCTGATCCCATGGCTATAAGTGTTGACAGAGGTTGTTGCTATCAGGTTTCATAAGTTCGTGACAGAGAGAGAGAGAGTTGATTGATGTACTGAGGTGGAGTGGAGAAATGCTTGAAGCTGCTACCCATTCACTGCTGGAGATGTTAGTGTCTTGGAACATTCTAAACCAGAGTCAAACAACCCTACTCTTGTGGGTTGTGGAAAAGAGAATACAAAATTACCGTAAGAGAATTAGACACCTATCAAGGGATTCCTACATTGCTGCTGACTTCCAGCATTCCACCTTCCTCTTCCCTGCTGCAGCTGCTGTCAGCACCAAACCCTGCATGCTCCTCACCTCAGCCATCCTCTAGTCCCCCATCCCTCAACGTCTATCAGTGTCAACCAGCAACCAGCAGCAAGGAACTGCTTCACGGTAAGAAAAAAAAACATACGGTATTTGTTTCGCGGTTCATCTCCAATTTCTCCTTTCAGCACAGGCCAAAAGGCAATCAGTCTACTCCGAACTGCCTCTGCAATGCTTGTGCCTTCCCAGATGGCTCAATCGGCAAGCTAAGGCTGTGCAGCCGAGATTTTACTTGGCGCTGCTGTGCAGGCGGAAGCCAAAGACGCGCGGCACGTAGCTCTGGGTGGGCTTGGCGGGCTTGACGTAGGGGTAGGTCATGAGGAAGAGGTGCGGGAAGGTCGTTCCGAAATACGCCCCGTCAATGTCTGAGCCGAGTCACGCAGGTTGTTAAAACGTTTTTAGGCAGGAACGGAGAGAGAAAGGGGGGCGGTGGAAGATACAAGGAATACAGCAAGGGTGGACGATAAAGCAGGAAGGAAAGGAAGGGGAAGGGGTGTGGGAAAGGAAGCAGGGGTTACAAGGAAGCAAGGAGCCAGATACAGAGACAGGGAGTGAAGAAAATAGGATTGGGGGGAGAGGAGGGAGGGGTGTGGAGGAGAGCAGGGTGGAGTTGGACGAGGGAGGAAGGCAGGGATAGGGTAGAGAGGCACACAAGACGTGAACAGCAGTCAGGAAGGGGAGGAGCCGACATGGGTTAAGGAAACCAGGGGTTGAGGAGATGTGGAGTGCCATTAAGAAGCAGACGTCTTGCAGGAAGAGTGGAAACATGCGAGGAGGTGGCAGTAGGCGAACTGATGCAAGCAGCTGGCAGAGGGAGAGAAAACAGGAGAGCGATGGAGAGTGGGAATATATATTGAGGGTTGAAAAGGAGGCGAGAGAAAAGCCTTAGATCGAGGGAGTCAGAAACAAAGGAAGAGTAATAGAAAGGTGATGAGATGAGGGGGTTGGGATGGGAGCTTGGGTGCAAGCCTCAGATGAGGTGGCATGCTGAGGAGGATACTGCCTTGGTACTTGGAGCGCGGGTAGTAAATGTCCTCGCATTTTGGACAGTAAATCTTCACTGTGCTTGTCCGAGGAATGTCTGATTGGCCCATGGGCAGGCAGGGCTGCCCGGAACAAAAGACTCTGGGACACCGGCCAAAATCGACATTCTTGAACTTATCCAACTGGAGGTGGACGGGGGCGGCGAGCATATGAAGTCGACATTCTTGGATGGGGATGGAAATGATAGAGGAACTAACAAGAAGGTGAGCATGTGTACTTAGTAAAAAATGGAACAGAATACTCCGATACGAGGGCCATAATTCGTGTTCATGGTGGGAAAAATGGATATGTAGAGGGCCGATTTGAAGAGACAGGAAGGGCACATGGAGGGCAGTTCTAGACAGATGATCAGGTATGCATATTGCAGAGGACCTACCATGGTACTGAGGCCGCGTGTGGTGAGGATGTAGCGCACGTGGATGAGCCCGTAGAGCATCTCTGCTGCTGATTCCACCATCTCATGCTGCTCCTCTGTCAGTATGTCATCTGTCAACAGTAACCAGTGAAGAAGAGAAAGGTAACCACAGCCAGCTTATGCCAATGGGTGGAGAGGAAACGCACACGGATCTGACTTTTGAGAATTCTCAAAAGCCGAGAACGACTTCATAACAGGAAATCAGCTAAACAAGTGCACCGCCTAGCCCACTCACTCCACCAGTACCGAAGTCCCACCCGCCTGTGGCCGAATCCATGACTGAAAAAAGCACAGCACTGAGACGCAACACACTCAGCACAGGACTTTGCTGCTACAAGCCTCCAACCAACCCGCCCACCCACCCTAGTGTGAATCCCAACCCTGCCATTCGTCACCCGCCACTGGATCTACATCGGGGATAAGGTCCAGTACACCCCTCACGTATCTCAAGCCACAATACGCCTCTCCTGGCTCGAGACAAGCACCTCTCTCTCGTGCGCGTGTGTGTCCCTTCAACCCCTCCTCGCAACCCCTCCTCTCAACCCCTTCCCTCACCCGCAGGCGACAGACTCTACATCCAGAACCAATTCTGGCGTGCTGTGCAGTCATACCACCGCGGTACTCAGCTGCTGCGAGCGAGCGACTTATCCTCACACCGCATTGCATCCCTCTTCAACTCCTGGTGACTTTGCTTTCCACCGAGAAAAAAAGAAAGTCGACCACCTGGAAGAACTTGTACTTCAACCCACAGAACAGCTCGTGAGTGGGGGATGTGCACACTCCCAAATCCCCTCCCCCACCCCCACGCGCGCGCACTCCCTCATCCCCTCCCCCACCCTCACACGCGCGCCCCCCCGCATGCCCTCCCCCACCCCCACGCGCGCGCCCCCCTCATGCCCTCCCCCACTCCCACGCGCGCGCCCCCCCTCATGCCCTCCCCCACTCCCACGCGCGCGCCCTCCCTCATGCCCTCCCCCACTCCCACGCGCGCGCCCCTCCCCCCATGCCCTCCCCCACTCCCACGCGCGCGCGCCCCCCTCATGCCCTCCCCCACTACCACGCGCGCGGCCCCCCTCATGCCCTCCCCCACCCCCACGCGCGCGCCCTCCCTCATGCCTTCCCCCACCCCCATGCGCGCGTGCCCCCTCATGCCCTCCCCCACCACGAGCACCTGCCACACTCTCGCACACTCCTGCACCTGTGGGGGAGTCGACGTCGAGGATTGGGTCGAGCGCGTAGTCGTAGTAGGCCACCTGGCTGCTGACATTCTCCCCTCCCTCACCCCCAGGCACGCGTGCCCCCTCATCCCCTCCCCCACCCCCCAACCCCCATGCGCACCTGCCGCACTCCCCTTCCCTCCGCACCTGTGGGCGACTCGACGTCGAGGATGAGGTCGAGCGCGTAGTCGTAGTAGGGCACCTGGCTGCTGAGCCCCGAGAGATTAAAGTCGTCCTGAATGTACTCGTCGTCCACCTCGCAGAAGAACTCGTTGCCCTTCAGCGAGCAGAACCACGTGATCCACGACGTGTCGTCCTCCGAGTCGCTCACGTCCGACTCCTCGCTCTCTGAATCTTCGTAGGGGTTGTGGCGGGGGAGGGAGGGAGGGGAAAGGGGGGTGGGGGGGGGAGAGGGTGGGGAGGGGGGTGGGTGGGTGGTTGGAAGGGGTTGGATTGGATGCGTGGACTAGGGATGGGAAGGGGAACGAGGTGGAACGGGAGGGTGGGGGAGCTGCGAAAAAAGGGGCGTGAGGACGGGGAGAGAGGGGCGCGGCAAGCAGGACTTCTGGCGCAACGAACGGCGGAACACGAACGGGATGTGTGTTTTGCATTTCTCCACGTTCTCCAAAATAACATTTTTTGTCCTGTGGGTGGATTAACCAATCTGGGTTCGATCTGACGTGGATCGGAATGTCCACATCGAACGGACCGGTTAAGTTGAGACAGACGAGAGCCAAAACGCAAAGGAAGCGCATAGATCAAATGGGACCAGACGTGATGGCGACGGGAAGGAATAACAAGCAATGCTCAATGTCGAGACTTGTTTTAGAAAACCACCCGAGCATACAAGTGGGCATTCTCGCGGAAGTAGTAGCATGTACTAGTGCTTCCGAGCCGCACCAACCGCAATAAACCGCAACGACGATCAACATACTCGCGATGTCGCCGCGCCGATTGAAGAGAAGCAAGAACTAGCGCACATACTAATCGCATGTCAACAGCAACCCGAGCACATCATACCCTTTCCCTGGCCGACAGCGGCTTGTTGCGAGGAAGAAGGCACTCCCGAAAGCCTCTCCTTATCGCGCGGATTTATCCCCCCTTTGCTGCCCTGACCTTGCGCCATCGCCATCTCATCCCCCCGCTTCTTCCCCGTGTGTGCATCCATTCCCGCTCCGCCCCCCACCGCCCCACCCGCCACGTCTCTTTCCCGGTATCCCCTCGCGTCCTTCGATCCCCCGCCTCTGCTCGAGTCGGGCTGCGCCATACCCCGATCTCCCCGAAACATTTTGAAAGTTAAGAATCTAAAGAGCTAAGATCAGAAAAGAAATGTAGAAGCAAAAGCTCGACCCGGGAAGATTTTAGAATATAACGCGACCGGTTAAAACGGGGAGCGAGAAGCAGCCACTCGGGCCGCAGCTAGCAACCCCGCGAATGCAGCCGCTGGTGCATCAGACGGCACAGTGTTGTAGTCCCTAACAGAAACTGAAAACTAAGTTGTTCTGTTGCTCAGTGCCACGAATAAGAAGCATTCATAAGAAGA